AAAATAAGACTATTTAAAGATAATAGATCTTATTTTAGGTATATTAAGGAGAAATTAGATTAGCTAATAAAGGAGAATTCTAATTATTTTATTATTTCGGTTTCTAAATAGGATTTTTCTATTATTTTTAGTATTTAGGAAATAAATACAAATAAACAAAGAGTTAAATATAGTATAATAGGCTATATTTTCTAAAAATTATATTATTTTAGCGGTTTTAAGGTTTTAGTTATATAATAAAGACTATAGCCTTTTATATATAACTTGCGGAAATTATATAAGAAAGCTAGTTTTTTTATAGTTCTAGAAAATAATTTCTTTTAAATATTTAATTAATTAAGCTTTTATATATTATATACTATTTATACTTTATTATTTATACTTTTAGTTTATTATTTTATTATTAAATTACGTTTTATATTCTAGTATACTTTATATAGGTTTTTGTCTTATTATAGTTTCCTTTTTATAATATCTAATATCTTAATTAGGTATTTAAATATTTTTATTACTAAACTCTTCTTATAAATCTATTATAAACTATTTTATTTTTAAGTTCTTTTTATTATAAGTTATATATATACTAGAAAGAATTTAAACTCGGTTTAGTATAAATACTAATAAGAGAAAAAAGCTAATTAAGAAATAGAAAAATAGTATTTATCTAGTAATTATAATAAAAGCTAATTTTTAGAAATATTTAATTACTGAAATATATTAATATATCTTATATAAGAAAAGTAATAATAATTTATAAGATCTATTTTAGAATAACTTTAAAAACTTTAATATTATAATATATAATCTAATTAATTATATATTTATATAAAATCTTTAAATCTAATTTTAATATAATAATATCTATATTAAATAAAATTATAGAAGCCTTACTATTATATAATTCTTTATTAATCTTATTTAAAAAGAAATAAAAAATATAAAAAATAAAACTAATATTATTAATAATAATAGTCTAATTAGAATTAATCTTTTTTAGATATTTATTATATTAGTTTATTTTATTCTAAATAAAATTAAATATAAAGAAACTAGATTTTTAATTAAGAAATTAAGTTATTTATCTATTTTTTCTAAATTAAGACTATTTACTACTTTTATTTTTATTACTATTAATATTACTACTAAACCCGAACTATTATTAATTAATACTTACTATTTCTACTAGAAAGCTTATTAGGAAAATAGTAAAAATATATTCCGAAATATAGAAATATAATAGAATTAATAATAGTTTTAATTATAAACTTTTTTTATTTTAATATTTACTAATATATAAAGCTTCTAGAAAAGATATTAATAAAAGCTTTTCCTACTATATTAAAGAAACTAGTATAAGACTACTTCTATAATAACTAGCTCTCGAGCCATATATATAAAGAGGCTTATATAAATATCTCTAGCTTTTTTAAAGGCTCTGGTTTCTATTATTAAAATTTAGATAAATAGAATACTATTACCTTAGTAATTATAATAATAAAGAATTCTAAAAAGACAATATTTGAGCTTCTCTAAATACTAATTAATAACTTATATAAATTATAATATAGCCTTATTTTTATTTTATAAAATACTAAATTCCTATATAATAAAATTATTATCTTTTATTAAAGCTTACTAGTATACTAATATATAGTCTCGAACTCTCCTAATAATCTCGGCTAGCTTATTAATAAGCTCTAATTATTTATTACTATTTATAAGAAAAAATAATAAATTAATATCCAGATTCTTTTTACTAATTAATAATACTATTTTTAAAATTCTTTAAACTATTATTTATTCGGAAATTATTAATATAGACCTAGTTATAATTTCGGAATCTATAATAATTATTTTAAGTCCTATAATTATAATAACTATATTCCGAAGTTGTATTTTATATATAAAAGACCCGAATACTATTTATAGAAATATATATTAAAGAAATAAAAAACTAAAAAAGCTTAATTTAAGAATAGAAATATTTATTAATTTAGATTCTAAAATACTTATAACTTTAATAAATACTTTAGTAATACTTATATATAATATATTACTGAATTTTTTAAAAAAAAGAATAATAAGAATAATAAAAATAAACTAGTAAATAATACTTTTAAAGCTTTATTAATAGAAATAAATAAAGAAAAGAAATATTATTCTGATTTCTATTTTATTTCTATTAAAAGCTTTCTAGCCGCTTTTATAGCTTCTACTTTTACTATTTCTATAACTAATAACTTTATAAATAACCTTTTTTTTCTTTCTTTTATATATTAAATAATAGATAAAAACTATATCTTAGAGCCTATTAAATAAATAGAGAATATTCAGATATTTATAATTAATAGTATATTAAGATATAATACTTATTACTTTTATAAAATCATAATTAATACCGGAGTTTCTAGATTCTTAATTACTAGTTCTAACTAATTTCAAGCTTTATAATAAACTAATAATAGTATTAAACTTAATGAAATTATTAAGGATTAAGTTAATATCTAGTTTAGTATTAAATCTATATTCTTTATTAGATCTATAATAGTAAGAATACTAATTAGGTAAATATAATTCTATATTATATTTATAAAGATTCTATTTTTACTTAGCTTAGTTAATATAAATAAGCTAGGAATCTATTTTAATAATTCTACTAATTATCTTATTACTTCTATTAGATACTTTATATCTATAATATAATGTTTTAGATATCCTTTCTTATTTTAAAATACTATTTTATAAGGCTTTATTTCTGAATTCTTTATTTATAATTCTTACTTTCTTATAAAAGTCGAATTATAATATTTATATTACTATTTCAGTTATTTATTTATTAGTAAGCTTCGAAATATACTAGAATAAATAAACTATAATATTAATATAAAAGATCTTAAATATCTTATAAAGTACTATAAGTAATATTAGAAATTCGAATAATTATTAAAATAATTCAAGTTTAATCTAAGAAATAATATTAGCTTTAATTATTCTATTATTATTAATATTTTCTATATTTCTAGTAAACTTATATTCTGTATTATTAATAAAGGCATTTAATATTAAGCTAGCTAATAGCTTTAAAATATTAGTATATTATATATTTGGGATATCCTAAATTAATATTAAATTAATACTTATTTAGGCCCTTTTAATTAAATTATAATAGATATTAGAAAGTAGTTTACTAATAAGAAGTTTATTTAATTTATAAATACTATAGGAACTAAGATTAAAATCGTTTTTATAGAAACTTATAATTTCATTAGAATTATAAAATACTATTATAGCCCGATTTAATATACTTATTTTATTATTATAACCGAAATTAATAGAATTAATAAGAATACTATATTTTAAATAGCTTTAAGGCTATTAATAATTCTATTAGATCTAATAATATTATTTTAATTCTCTTAATTTATAGTATTTTATCTTAAATAACTAAATATAATATTCTATTACTAATTATATTATAATAATTAGTAATATTTAAAAAGGCAATAATAGAAATTTAGAAGCTTTAAGCTAGATACTAAATTATAAATACCCTAAATACCCGAAATAGTTCTAGTATTACTAATATTTATAAACTTTTTTTAAATTCGAATATTCTTATATAATATAAAGGAAATACTAGTTAATCTAGTAATTAGAATGAATTATATAAGCTAATAGCTATTAATAAAGAAAACTATATACTAGCTTTATTATATAATAATACTATCTTCTATTTAATCTTTATAAAGCTCTTTTATATAAGAGATATTAAGGTTATTACTAATAGCTCTAAATTTAAACCTGTTTTCGAATTCTATAATAAGACTAAAGATAATACAGATATAATTTCTTTTATTATTTCTACTATTTCACTAAAGTATAATAGAGGATACCTTTATAAGAATCCGGATTTTATAGTATTTCTATAAAATAATAACCTATATAAGAACTTCTATTAAGTTAAAATTACTAGCTTTCTAGAAAAAAATATATTTGAGGTTATTTCTAGATCTCAGATACTAAAAGAAATATATATTTTTAACTTCTGATTTATTAATAAAATTAAAAACAAAAATATAAAAAGAAAGTTTAAAAAATCGAAACTAGTTATTTAGGCTTATAATAATAATAAGAAATATATAATATTAATATAATTATTTATTATTTAATATATTAGCTAGAGAATTATCTTTAGTATTATTATTATTATAAGTGGCATATTAGTAATTTGACTTCCACTTTCAGCTGCTTTTAACTGCTGTTTTACGCAGCCTTTCCACCCGCTTAATCTCTAAACCTCAGGCCGCCTAAAATTTGGCGAGGCTAGCCTCGCCGCCGCTTAAGACCTCTTATTACTTCATTACTACCTTTCCCAGACCAATAACCAAAAACGGCTTCCAGATCCTGAAAATATCGGCCCCCCGGAAACAGAGGGCCTCTTCCCAAACAGACATTCTTATACTGCCTGCTCCCTCGTCAGAGATATATTTAATCCAGAAGCTTTGCCCTCGTCCTCTTCTCAGTTCCTTACTCCTACCTCATCCACCTTAACCACCCTCAAGTCTTATCCTACCCTCACATTCTTTACTGCTACATCATTACCTTGACTACCTCAATAACCCTCAAGTCTTGTCTCACCTTTACATTCTTTACTACTACATTATTACCTTGACTACCCTCAGATACGTATATATTCGTTCGAGGCTTCATTCAACTAATACTGATTCTGTATCGGATAGTTGCCCAACTCTCTTCTTTTTATCTCTTCTCGATACTTCATATAACTCGTCGCTCTTGGCAGAGTATAATACCCTTTGGGCTCCTACCCTACTCGACCATCTCATCCCCCCACTCAAACTCTTATACCCTCTTCGACCACTCCTCCCTTCCCTCCTCTCCCCTTACTACAAGCCGCCTCCTTCACCATCCCACAGAACAACCCTTCGAACAACATAACTCGCCTGCGGACAAAATTCCCTCGATATTACACCCAGTATTAAGCTCTTTACTATAGCCGTAGTAAAACTCCTCCTCCAGACATACCTAGTCAGGATTATCCTCAAGTATACGAGCCACGAATTAAGAAGAAGCGGAGGTCAGCCTCTTACTCCGATATCGACAACTCTAGCTCCAACTCTGATTCCAACTCCGAATATAATTGCGATTCTGGCTACAATTCTGACTCTAGTTCCGATACTAAGGCCGAGTATTATCACCAGAAAATGGCCGAGTTCAAGGAGGCCGGGCCAACTATATTAAACCCTAGTAAGAGTATACTGGCCGCAATAGAAATAGAAGAGCAGAACTGGGAATTATAAATCTTTACCGTATTTAATATTCAATATAGAGGCATAACCTTACTAACTACTACTATTTAGGTTCTATAAAGATAGTAAGATAGGAGATCCGAAGGCGGCCCTTATTATAGGCGAGACAAATACCTTTAAGGGATATATCTTCTAGAGAGTAAAGTATTTACAGATAAAGAAAGAGTCAAATATTATAATATACTAGCTAGTTCTTAGTATAGTATATATACAAGTAGTAAAGTGCTATATAGATAAGAATACCTTATATAATATCCGTAATATATATATCTTGTCTCCGTTTTAGACTTTAATAATACTAATATTATAATAGTAGATCCTGGTATATATAATACCTCTATATAGCCTTAATAACTTAGAGAAGGAAAAGGCTAGACTTTTTATAGAGGACCTGTATATTTTTTAGAATGGCTACTAGATCTATAATAAAGAGGTATTTGCTTATAAACGGCTCCGGATATAGATATTACCCCTCCTTATCTTTACCGGCTATATATCTATAAGGCCAAAGGCCCTTGTCGGGAAGCGGCCTCTCTTATATAAGGATATCGAGTTTTAAGTATTTCCGTCCCTAGTAAAAGGATAACTGCCAGTTATTATCCTGGTACTTAACTTCAAGTATATTAAGTAATCCGGTAGGAAGAAGAAGCTATAAATACGGTTATTTACCCTTATAACTTCCTGCTATTTTGAATCTTTACTATATACTAAATGAAACAGGAAGAAATTTGTATTTTATAAAGGCAAGAATCTCATTTACTATCCGGTCCTCTTTATAATAGCTTTAGCCCTGGCTAATAATGCCTTTAAGAACAAGTTTACTTCTCTCAAGCAGATTTATAATCTAGTTATTCCGAGTACTACTAATCGAATCCGTCTAAAGTAAAATAGTAACTGGGCTCAGTAATCTATCTTCCGTAATATCGAGAATACTTTTACCGGAATATATATATCTAAGACCAAAGTACTCTAGTATCTGAAGTACCGGTACTACTTTATCCGGCTCGGTCAGATATATGGATTTAGGAAGAGACTGGAATTTTATAACTTGTAATAAGCCTCAGGGAATAGATTAAATAGTAAGGGCTCTTGTTCTTTTCTATATCTATATACTTACTAGTGAGAGATTTACTAATAGATATGGCAGAGGCCCTTACTCCTAAAAAGTAAAAGCAGATTATAGGCAATCGGAGAGATATCTATAAATAATATTATATACTAGTATTTATTAATATAAACTATTAAGCCATCTACCTTAGTACTATATAAAAAAATAATATGGTACAAGCCATCGGCCGCCTAGAATACTATAAATAAGCCCCGGTATATCTAACTAACCTATAAAAGTTTGAGATTATAATTAATTCACATATTATTAAGCTTAAAGAAAGTCTTATAAAGTATAGTATAAAGATTAAGGAATAAGGCTATACTATATTTAAGGCAGCCGAAGGTACGAAGTTATTTAATTAATATTATAAAATATAATACGAGCTTAATAGTTTAAGATAAATATTATATATCGAATTACTTAATAAGACTATTAACGAGTTCTACGAAATAGTATATATACTCGAGGTGAATTAATAGATATATAGTATCCTTCTAGCCCCTGGTATATTTATACTGCCTATTATTAAATATAAACTAGAAGAACGAGCTATAATTACCAGATTACTCTTCTAGCTACTTAATAATCTCAATAAGGATTAAGTAATCCAAGTATAGATCAAACTCGTCCGAAACCTTATATAGCTTAGTAAGCGGCAAGAAATACCTTACTCGTATAAGATATTAAGAGGGCAAAAGAGTAAAGATATATAGTTAAATATTGAGCCCTATAAATAGTATAGACCTCCCTATAAAAACAATAGCATCCTGGGTATAGAAGTAATAGAGAGCCGGCAGGCGGTTATTAATTGGGAGGCAGACTCTATAATTCTAATATAATTAAAAGAATAGCCAGTAGCCTCCGCAGACTGGGATATAAAGATACTTGTAAATAACAAGCCATATATAGATCCTATAGCTCCAATAGAATTAGAAGAATAGCTAATAGACCCTATATTCTACTATCCCTTCTATAAGTAGTATAATAAAAAAGCAGGTCCGAAAAAGCAGGCTTATATATTCTCCTGCCCCAATAGCCTATAGAGGCACCTCAAAGTTCTATACCTGAATAATCGGGCTCCCGATAAAGGATTTAACTGTCCCTATAAAGGATATTTAGCCTTCTTAAAAAATGCAATATATTTCTTAGCTTATAGATAATATTAGTATTATTACTATTAGATTATATAAGAGATACGTCTCTTAATATTCCCCTTCCTACTTGGCTTGCCTTTTAGTAATAGGCTAAATAGGTCTCACAGTTTATTATTAGAATAGTTAATTTAATATAAAGCTCTATTTATTATATAATCCTATAAAAAGAAAATTCATAAGAGATAGTAGGCAAATCTATTAAAACATATTTCAACTTTCTCTTTCCCAAGAACCATTCTCCTTATATACCTGGCCAAAATTTCATTCTCCCGCTATCCTATAAACCAGTTATTAAATATAAGATTCAGGCAGAGGCGAGATTAATTGCCTAGGGAGAAGACCCCGGTTTTCTATAGTCCTTAATATTCAGGTATATAGGAGACAATCTATAATTCCAGTAAGGTATAAGCAACCAAGGACCTATAGATAATAATAAAAGGTACCCTATCCTTATAAGCTTATAGTCGAGGGACGATATATAATTAGTTTACCGAGCAGCCAAAGTTATTATTAATTAATAACTATCTCAGTTATCCTCTTTAGGCCTAATCTTACTATTACTAATATGTACTCTATTTTAAAGAGGGTAGATAGGATAAAGATAAAGGGTTATTATCGGTTTGCTATCTTCTCTAATTATATAACAGTTATTTATTTCTTCTCTAATAGCCCCTTATATTTCTTACTAATTATAGTATTGAAGTTATTACTAATATTAAAGCTATATAGATTTATTAATATGAGATATTTTATAATAAATTTGTATCTGGTCTCGAATTAGTAACTATAGTATAGATAATACAGATTAGCTTACGCCTTCCATAATATTAAGATCTGGCTAATAGTAACTGCAGGAGTTAGTATATAAAGCTTGAGATTCTTCTCGTTTTGCTATTCGCCCGAGAAGCTTGGCCGCATATAAGAACTATTTACTCTAGTATTTACAACTAAGATTCCAGTATAATACTAGTAATACTTGAGTTATGGGACGAGGTTTTATTATTTGGGATATAGAGCTCGATACGTTTAGTCCGGCCAACTTAGCTCCGAAGGGCAAGGCTACTATATCAAGACTCTATAAGCTATATAATAGCTCCAATTTCTGATCTAACTATAAATTCTCCCCTTCCCACCTGCTTTATATAACTACTATACTATTTATACTTTATAGTATATTTCTCAAAAAGCTTTACTATTGCCTTAGACCCTTGTACTTTAATATATAATAAGACTATTCTACTATATTTGTCTTTAGATTCCAGTTTAGTACCGGAATCAAGTAGCTTCTTTACTACTATATTATCTGTATTCCCTATAGTATAGAATAGTAGTATCCGACTATATTTATCCTGAGATTCCAGATTAGTATACTTTCCAAAAAGCAGCTCTACTACTACTATATCTCCCCTTTCTACTACCCATAACAACGGTATCCGATTATTAGAATCTTTATAATTCACCTAAATACTAGTACTTTTCCTAAATAGCAGTTTTACTACTATCCTATACTCCTTCTTCGCAGCCTATAATAATACTAGACTACCGTAGACATTGGACTATAGTTTAGCTCCTTTCTTAAATAGTAGCTCTACTATTGCCTTATATTCAAGAGCTATAGCCTATACAAGCGGCGTAAAACCTGTCTTATTTTTTGATTTCACTTTGGCCCGGTACTCAAATAATAGCTTTACTACTATATTATCCGCAGTCTTTATTACATACCATAGTAGAATATCCCTCCATTAATCTCTAGATTCTATATTAGTACATTTATTAAATAATAGCTTAACTAATACTATATAGCCCCTTTTTACTACCTATAATAGTAGTATCTGATAGTTATTATCTACGGATTCTACTTTAGTACCCTTCTTGAGCAGTAATTCCGCTATTGCCTCATACTTCTTCCTTAAAGCCTATAGCAGTATTTGGCCACCTTTTTCCTCCGACTCCGGTTTGGTACTCTTAACGAGTAATAGCTTTATAACTACCGCATTCTCATCTTTTATAGCTAGTAATAAAGGTATTCGACCCCTGTTATCCTTAGTCTCCGGGTTAGTACCTCTGCTAAATAGTAGTTTTACTATAGTCTCGTACCCCCTCTCTACTATATATATTAAAGGCATATAATACCAATTACTCTTAAAGTCCAAGTTAATGTTTTTATTAACTAGTAGCTTTACTAGTATATTATACTTACCCTTTATAGCCCATAGCAGTATTTGACTACTATCCTCGGACTCTAACTTAGTACTATTAATAAGCAGTAGCTTTACTACCGCCCCATACTCAATACCTGCGGCCAGTAATAATAATATCTGACTACTACTATCCTTGGACTCCAGATCAGTGCCTCTCTCAAGTAGTAGCTTTGCTACCGCCTCGTACCCGCTCTTTACAGCCCATAATAACGGCATCCGACCACTATTATCTTTAGACTCTAAGTTAATATCTTTCTCGAATAGCAGCTTTACTACTACCTTATACCCGTTCTATATAGCCGATAATAGCAGCATCTGACTATTACTATCCTTAAACTCCAAGTTAGCGCCCGTCTGAAGTAGTAGCTTAACTACTATTTCGTAACCCCTCTCTATGGCCCATAATAGCAGCATCTGACTACTACTATCCTTGGATTCCATATTAGCGCCCTCCTCAAGTAGCAGCTTTACTATCGCCTCGTACCCGTTCTCTATAGCTAATAATAATGGCATCTAACTATTATTATCCTTATAATTTAAGTCAGTACGCTTCTTAAGCAGTAGCCTCACTACCTCTTTATGTTCTCTTTCTACTACTTATAATAATAGTATCCGACTACTACTATTTTTGGACTCTATATTAACTCCTTTATTAAACAGTAGCTTTACTACTACTTTATACCCGTTTTTATAGCTAATAATAGTAGTATCAAACCACTACTATCCTCGGGCTCTAGGTTAGCGCCATTCTTAAATAGTAGTACTACTACCGCTTTATACCCGTTTTGGGCCACTAAATACAATACTATCTATTCCTTTAAGTCTTGGATATTTGGGTTAGTATTTTACTATAGTAGTGGCTTAACTATTAAGGTATTATCCTTCTCTGCTACTATATATAACGGTGTCTTTCCGTCCTCATCTAGAATATTAAGATCAGGATCAAGATCGGATGTCTCTAGTAATAATTTAATAACCGCTTTAGAGCCTCCCCAGGCTATATAATAAAATACAGTCTGGTTATTATTATATTTAGTATTTAGATAGGTCTGTTTATTATTATAATAAGTATTCAGATTATCCCTTTTAGGTAATAAGCTATTAACTATCTTCGTATTCCCTTATTCGGCTATAAGATATAGTATATACTATCCAAATCTATCCTAAAGGGTTTTATTAGCTCTCTCATTAATAAGCTTCTGGACTACTATATTATAATATCTCCAGGTTATATAGTATAATACTATCCACATATACTTGTCTTGAAAATTAGAATTAGCTATAGCCTCTAACAGTTACTATAGTACTTCTTTATACCCGTTCTGGGCCGCCAAATATAGTATAGTCTTTTCTTTCTTATTTCGAAGGTTAGGATTAGCCTTGGCCTTTAATAGTAGCTATACTACTTCTTTCTGCCTATTCTAAACAGCCAAATATAGTACTGTCTTTCCCTCTTTATCTTAATTATTAAGATCGGGTTTCTCTACTAGTAGTAGCTTAACCTTTATCTTATTCCCGTCTGTAGCTACTAATAATAGGTCTAAGCTCCAAGAGTTATAATCGTCTCCGCTCTCAGGAAGCTACTATACCGCCTTCTCCTCCTTTACTACTTCGGTATTACCTATTATTACTTTCTTTATTCGACTTTTATACTCTTCTTTACTAACGTCTTCTCTAGTCAGTAACGGGTGAAAATATACGGGGCCAATAAATTAAACCTTTATTAAGGTCTCCTCGTTTATAATTTTTATAACCAAGGCCCTTGCAATTAACTCGTCTTTAGGATTAACTAGAAGCAAGTATTCGTCTGGATACTTTAGAGATAAATATAGCTTTACTTCTATTAAGGGATATATATCTTTCCAATTATATTTTCTTTTAGGAATGCAATCGAGGCTACGAAACACTTCCTATATACCCTTAATACCTCTATTCTTCCTAATATATAGAGTTAGCTCGGTTAAAGATTACTATATATTAAATAGACTAGCGGGATACTAGCTGAAACCTTTAGATATAGGTACTGAATTATAGAAAAGATATCTATAAGAAACATTTTCTATATTCTTCAGGATCTCTTAATAAATGTCTTACTAGAAAGCGGTAAAGTCTATCCTAATTCCTACTAAATGCCCTGAAATAGTAGCTATATCTCTAGGCCAAGAGGTGTAACGGGGGCCTAATATAGTCAAAAGCTAGTTAACCTTATTAATTCTCCTTTCCCTCAAGTTGGCTATTACTTCGGTTATAATTCGATATTAAGGAGAAGTATAGGGGTTATTGACTTTTATAAGAATATCTTTATCGAAATCTTTTATAAAGGGACCGTAACCCTGAGGTCTATTAAATAATACCTTAACCTTACGAGACTTTACTAATTCTAATACGGTCTAGCCTCGACTAAACTATAGTAATATAATAATAGTAAAGTATATAATCTCAGAATTAACCCATTTCCAGTTTTAGAAGAAGTAATTATAGACTAGTATAATTCGCATATTCTCGTAATTATATGGTATATTAATAAGAGCCTTACTATAAGCGGCTTTCTTATTAGGAATATAAATTATATCCTACCAGATTCTTTTATATTAGAATTATTCCGTAATCCTTTTAAAAAAATCATATAGGTATATATTAACCTGCCCTGGTAGCCAAGTTCTAGTCCTAGTTCCGTCTGACTAGATATATAAAATTGCTATAAATGGCTAAGGAGGCTCAATAATAGACTCCCTGTCTAATATCTATACCATCGGCTTTCTAGTATTTGCAGCCTCTTCTAATTTATATAATATAAACTAGTATATAGTAGTATATAATATACGATTTATATAAGACTCGTAGTACTATACTACTACTATAAAGTTAATTCGTAACTCTTTGCAAAAATCAAAAATATACTAATTATAACCTTTATAGCCGCTCGTCTTAAAATCTCCGGTAATTAGTATTTATATAAGGAGATCTCGTTCTGTTACCGGGAGACTTCTGGCTGCTGCCTATATACGATTACGGTAGAGTTTGAACTTTGTTATAACCGTCTCAATAACTATTACTATAGAAGCGGATACTAGATTATAAGCCATAACTTGATTATTAAAATAATACTACTATAAAGATTCTATTACGAATTAAAAGGGGACTTTATAGAATACAAAGCGTTCCTGCTAGAGGCTAGAGACTAGAGGTTGGGATCTATTAATCTGGTAGCTCTCCTTATTCTACGGGGTTTATATTATTAATAAACCGGGGCTATACCTAATTAGGAGTAGTAGTTCTCGTGAGTTATAATACCCTTTCTTAATATAGATAGGTTACTTGTAAGCTAATAGCTAATAATTACTAGGAAATATAATAATACCCTATTATCTATTACTGCCTTTAATTCTATTTATTCCTTATAAGTTATATTTATTACCTAAGGCTAAGCTTTTTAGTATTGTTTTTTATTAATCTTTTTATTTTATTATATAACTATAAACCGCTTTATAAGTAGATTATATCTTTATTTCTATTAAAGCAAGATAGTCTGATTTCAAATAACTTCCTCTTTAATATAAAATATATTACCTTATTATTTAACCTTTTTAAAATACAAATCCGTATAGTAAAGTTTTAAGTTATAAAGAGATATTATATACTCTCTCTATAATTAGGCTTACCTTTCCTTATTAAGCCGAAATAGTATTATATAATTAACTAACCCAATATATTTACCTTAGTAAACTCAGGCTATCTAATTTATTATTTATCCTTTTATAATTAATTATATTACTAAAAACCAATCTTTCTTAATATCTTTTATATTTATATTACTTGATTCGTATAATTATAAGTAATAAAAGTACTAGTTATAATATAGTAATAAACTCAAGCTTGTTTCTTATAAGTAGGATTAATAACCTTACTTATACCCAGCTATTAATTATTAGCTGTCTAGCTTAATTGAGCTAGTATCGGCATTCCCGAATTTCTCAGGGACCTCGAAATTACCTTATACAGGTCCTGTTATTATACTAAAAGTATATTATTAGCCTCTCTATTCTCATATACCCCTTATTCTTCTAACTATCCTAATTCATCTGACTCTAATCTCATACTTTTCATAAATTCTTTAGTAGCTCTCTTAAATATATAGTCCTTTCTAGCTTTATCTAGTTATAATAGAATTCTATTAGAATCCCCAGATAATAGATTTGTATTTTTAATACTCTCAGGGTTCTTTCCCAGTTCTCTTACCGAGATTTCCGCAAGCCAATCTCTTCTCTACTAATTATTCGGAATAAAGGCATCTACTTAATCCCAGTATCCTTTACTAAATCTTTACTTAACCCCTGGTAATATTACAATAAATACTAATACCGCTTTCCGGCCTATAAAGTTTATTAGCGGTAAACGCCTTACCTTAGAAGGCTGGGTCTCAAAGAGTATATCCGGATTCTTTACCAATACCAGAAAGGATAATACGAGTATAAAAAGGTAATAAACTAGCCAAATAATAGAGCCCCAGACCTATACTATAGGAGAACCAAAAAGGCTAGCTAGTATAGTAGCCTATATAATAAGAATAAGGCTTATAAAGTAAGAGATCCAGAAGACTATATACTATTATTTAATTCAAATAGGGATATTAGTTAATATATATAATTATAAAGAGTATCCTATTATAATATCTGTATCTGATATATTCCAGTCTTTAATAATAGTATATATATCTATAGCTATACCTCTACTAGTAGTCAGGGAGGTATCTTTCTTAATAGCCACCTTATTTATAAAGATTAAGGTTGTATTATACTATAGAAATAGAAGTAGAGCCGTATTAATAGCCAAATAGAGGAGAAGAACAGCTCCGATAGGTAAGCCGTATATAAATAACAAGGAGGAAAGACTAAGGATAGTAATAATTTCAGTAGCTATAATTACTTAAAAGAATATAATAGTATAGGATGGCCTGGATTAAGAAGTGGTTGGCAGAATATAAGTAATATATAACCTTATAATTCGAGAATAAAATTCCGTATTATTTGAATCTTTATTTAGTAGCCGGTGCCCGATTATCGAAGCTCGTTCTAAAAAGGCCTTATTAATAAGCGGAAAGGTATTCCCGTATTAAAGACTTGCTACTAAAGAGCCACTATATAGGTAAAAGCCTAATAGTATATCGAAAGGAGAGAGATACCAGATATAGCCAAAATCTTTAATATAGCCCATAAGCGGTATTAGTATTACAAGGCTGCTCCCGAAAGCAGAAATAAGTACAAAATTGAAATAAAGAGACTCTATATATAGTCCAAATGGAATATATAATAGAATTATTATAATATTTAAAGAACTAATAGAAAGAAATATTTTTATACTAGTGAATTTGGATAATCCATTATACTCCCGTATAAATATTTAGATATAGAATTAATAAGAAGAGTAAAGAGAGTAAAATA